CTTTTAAGGAACCCTTTAAAAGGAGCCCAAAAGCCTAGTTTAATTATTAAGGCCCTTATATTAGGAGTCTCCAAGCCCTAAACCCCAAACCCTAAAACCTAAACCCCAAACTCTCAACCCCAAACCCCAAACCTGAAACCCTAAACCCAAGAAACCCTTATAGAACCCTTTTAAGGAACCCTTTAAAAGGAGCCCAAAAGCCTAGTTTAATTATTGAGGCCTTATACTAGGAGTCTCCAAGCCCTAAACCCCAAACCCTAAACCCTAAACCCCAAACCCTCAACCCCAAACCCCAAACCTGAAACCCTAAACCCCAAAAGCCCTAAAGGGTTGAGGGTTTGGAGTCTCCGGCAGTCGTGGTCGGAACCTTTGCCAGCTCCAGGGGCTCAGGCAGGGCCATGATGACCCTCCAGCAGAAGCCCTGGTGGTTAGGGTTTAGGGTTTAGGGTTTAGGGTTTAGGGTTTAGGGTTTAGGGTTTAGGGTTTAGGGTTTAGGGTTTAGGGTTTGGGGTTTAGGGAAGTACAATTTTTAGTAGACTGTAGGGTTTTCTATAAGGGGAATTACTAGTATAAGTATCCCCCCGGAACGGTGCCTAAGCCCTTTAGCTGCTAATATAGGGGCCGTAAAGAATTACCTGAACTATTTGGGGGTTGTTTCATAATTAGAGTAGAATATACCCCCAAACCCTATTCTAGTTATTAAGGCCCCCTACATTAGAGAGTGTTAGGGTTCAGGGCTTCTGGAAGTTTAGGGTTTGTAAAGGTTTAGGGTTTACGCATTCACTCTCCAGTGCAGGGTGCCTTGGCGACCGAACCTGCAGAAGTTGAACTGTCTTATGGCCACCTTCATCCACGCACCTCGAACAAACCCATCACGAAGTGTCCGTAAACCCCCAAAACCTCTAAACCCCTAAACCCCTAAACCCCTAAACCCCTAAACCCCTAAACCCTAAACCCTAAACCCTGACCTGCTGCGGTTTCTTGCGCCTCCAGCAGACATGCAGAGTCTTCAGAAGCCCAGAGTCAACAGTCTAGCTATGAAGCCGTAAATAGCCCCCGGAATCCAGTCCAATCAGCTATTCCCCAAGCCCTAAACAATAAACCCCAAACCCCAAGCCCTAAACCCTAAACCCCAAACACCAAACCCCAAACCCCAAGCCCTAAACCCTAAACCCCAAAAACCAAACCCCAAGCCCTAGAAGCATCCTTCAAACCTAAACCCTAAACCCTAGACCCATCCTGAAACCCTAAACCCTAAACCCTAAACCCTAAACCCAAACCCTAGACCCACCCTTAAAACCTTAACCCTCAACCCTAGAAGTCCGTCTATCGTAGACTAAAAAAACCTAAATACCGAGCCAGGCTGATCCCCACAATCGAGGCGATAAAAGCGGGCAAGGACATTGCCCTGGCCAACAAGGACGCAGGGGTTCAGGGTCTCTACGGGTTTAGGGTTAGGGGTTTAGGGTTTAGGAGGTTCAGGTGTTCAGGGTCTAGAGGTTTGGGTTTAGGGGTTGGGTGTTTAGGGGCTGCGGCGGCTGCTGCTGCTGGTAATTTACTGCTACTGCTACTGCTACTGCTACTGCTCCGCGGCTGATGCTACATGCGACGGTGGAGGCGCTACTCCAACTCCTCCCGCCCCAATTCCTCTAGCTGTTCACAAACTTACCAGTCCAGGAGACGATCATCGCCGGAGGGCCGGTGATCGCGCCGCTGATTGAGGAGTACGGCGTGAGCATGCTGTCGGAAAGCTCAGATATGCTCTGCGGCATTGCTTGTGAATTTTAGGTCTGTTGCATCTGCACCTTCTGTTTCGATGTGTGTTTCTGCGATAATTTTGTTGCTGTCCCTAAACCCTAAACCCTAAACCCTACCCAAACCCTATTGGGTGTGAAGGATCGAAGGAGTGTTATTTCTGTCGTCGGCCATCCTGACATGGAGTGATTCACTCAGGGCTCCGTATCTTAACCCTAAACCCTTCCTTAACCCTAAACCCTTTCGTTTCTTAAAGCCGAGAACCTCTCATTGAAGGCTGTTTTTGGCCTTTTGCGGCGCGGCTTTCAATGATGGCAGGGCGGGCTGCAGGATGCAGCGGGATCATCATTATTATTAATCTTCTTATTGTTATTAATGCTACTGTTACTATTATTATGATTACTACTATTATTTCTATTACTAGTACTATTATTGTTATGATTACTACTACTACTACTACT